AATGCAAATACTTCTTAAGTAAAGTTGTTTTATTTTTGTGAAAAAGCTAGCAGCCAGTGCAGTTGTCCACATTCTTTTTTTTTTTTTTCAGCCCATGGACATGGAGAAAATTCAACATATGTTCGGGCAGCAAAGGCTAATGGGACTTTTCACAAATTAAAATTTGAGTATGGTATAAGGTGTGTGCTTAAATCTAATCCAAATGTCTCATGTAGTTACTTATATTTTATATTTAATCTTAACATAATTCAAAGATAAAGTGAGTACCAYGAGTTAAGACTATCTGACTTCAGCAGATAGTCTGAAAAGTGGAAATATAGTGTTTCTGAATAGGACAGGAGATTACAAACTAATAACCAGGACAACTGCTGGTGGGCCAAATGAAATGGCTTGGCGGGCCAATTTTGGCCCACGAGCCCCACTTTGGGCACCTCTGATCTAGCTAAAAGTCTAAACTAGCAGCTAGAAACAGCAAGCTAGCTAAAGGCTAAAACTAGTAAAACTAATTAGAAGCTAAAAGTAGGATGGTAGAAGCTAAAACACGCAATACACTTGCAAAAATCCCAAATTAGCAAAAAAAAAATTTAATATAAAAAAGTAGCAAAACACTAGCTAAAAGAAACAAACCATCAGCTAATACTAGAAAAGGTCTAGCATTAGCTAGTTAAAAGCAAACTCCTGAAAAATCATTGCTAAAAGGAAAAAAAGAAGCTAAAACAAGATAAATGCTAAAAGCCAAAATGGACAAAAAATAGGCAAAAGATAAAAGTAGCAAATCACTGACTAAAAAGTAAACCATCAGCTAAAACTAACAAAACATCTAGTAATATGCTTACTAAAAGCTAAAATTAGTAAAACTGTAAAAGGTAAACATCGCAAAAGCCCTGATAAAAGTAGCAGAAAGGTCACTGAAAACTGAAAGCATGTTAAGTCGCTCTTTCCAATATGGCGGACTCCCACGCCTGGCTGCAGCCTGTAGAACTCGATGTGGACACGAGGGGGCGCTGTTTGGTCACACGTGGTTAAACGTTGACGTCAGGTGTGGCAGACGCTCAATGTGGCATCAAGACAGATGTTTAGCAACAGACAGTAAAGCGACGAAGCGGGCAAAACGTCAACCTGAAAGTCAGCCCGACACACCGCTGGATACAGACCTGATGTTTACGTGTCGGTTCTGCTGCGGCAGAAGTCGAGCAGAAAGTTCTACAGCAGAGCCCGGTTCTCCAGCTGTGAGTGGCAGTTACAGTAGAGGCATGTATGAAACAGGGAGGTGACCAGCAGCAGCAGAATAGCTCCTCTATGAACGCCCCTCACAACTCGCTCATGTGAATCACATTTTCCACCTTCGGCTCGGCGCGCTCTCCTCGCTCCTTCTCCGGGCCCCGAGGACGACATGAACCGAAAAGTTTCCCTCGTCGCTCCGTCCGGGCAGCACCGAACCGAGCCAGAGGATCAGTAGCAGCCGACAGGAACGAAAACTTTCAGTGGGGGTAAAGGACGATGAGGGCAGCTGACGAACTGCCATGTTTAATCATCCCATCTTATCCGAGGAGCTAAAACGATCCAATCATCGCTAATTATCGGACACGGAGCAGATTATGGATCTCCAGGTGATCGTGTGGCTGGTTTACTGCATCCTGCTGCCGTCCACCTTATTAACAGGTAAGATCATTACGTTTTTATTGTCTGTGGGTTGTCTGAAATTAACAATTTTCACGACACGGAGTGACTTTTCTGTTGACGTGAGCGCTGAAACTCGCAGCGGGGTGGTGACTGAGCTGCTGCAGGAGCAGCTGAGGAGCTGAACTGGACGAACTTTTCAGCAAAGACGGGAACTTTTTGTTTGTTTGCTTTCCAGGAGCTCTCTTTGTTTCAGCTCGGGATTTTATGCCCACACTGTTACATAAAACGCGCAAAGGGCTTCAACACTAAACTTTAAGTCTGTTTAAAATAGAAGCACAGACTTGGTGTTTGCGTCAGATTTGGCTTCTGCGGTGAGACTGCGCAATTAAAGGAAAATATGGTGAAACTAAAAATAAAGTTGAACTGGAAATGYATCAGGTGAGCACACCTGCATCATTGAAATACAAAACTCCTCATTTCCCCTTTTTTGTTTATTTGCTTCACAACTAGGATTTTTAAATGATCTTTGTAATTAGAAATAATGGATCTGCACAAAGGTGAATCTCCAGATTAATTAAGTTAAATTAAGGGTGGAGCTTTTAAAAAGTGTATTGTCAGATCTTATGATTGGCATATATGTGGGGGATTACTCCCAGCTTCATTAAAATCCACCCACTGATTCATGAGATATTTTGCTAACGGACAGACAGTACCTTAACTCTAAAACTGATTACCAAATTTTTAAAGAAAAAAGTTGCACAATGAGTAGAGCTTGAATTATATGTTGGATATCACTTTCAGCTACTACCACAATAAATTTTAGGGAAGTATCTGTCAAACTGTCTGAGTCAGGCTCTGTTTTGTGTTTGCGAATTGAAATTATCTGTGGCTGCCTTCTTAAACTGAGTTGACTCCAAAAGTTTATCATCTTCAGATGTGCATTCAGTGATGACATCCTGAGAGTTTCACTAAAATCGGTGCAATACTCCGTAAGATATTTTGCTAACAGACAGACAGGGTTTATTTTATTTGCTAAAACTGAAGATTTATAGGAAGGTATAGCGTAATAAGCGTGCATGTGTTGAGGATGACTCTTAGCTACCACACACACCAAACTTCAGCTCATTATCTATAAACTTGACTGACTTCAAGCTTGTTTTGTGTTTGCTAAGGTTGTTTAGCTGTGGCRGCCAGCTTAAATTGAACTGGCTTCAAAAGGTAATCCTTTGTAGATGCACATCCAGTGATTATGTTCTGTGAATTTCATTAAAATCAGTGTAGGTGTTYATGAGATATTTTGCTAACAGACAGGGTTGATTCTAATAGTAATACCAATCATTTMGGCAAACTTATCATGGTTGGATGTGTTGAAGATGATGCTCAGCTTAGGTTAATATTTAGGGGGTGTGAATACTTTTGCAGCTCGACATCAGGAGGTCCAGTAGCAGAGGAAAAGGTGCGGACCGACTGAGCCTCGATCCATGTGGGTCTGGGAGAGCAGAACTGAGCCAGCTTTAAGTGACTCATGAAATTACAGAGACGAATAGCATCGCAGAGGGTTACATTAACTCCAAGACAGACATTAAAACAACACTCAAGAGTTTTCTTTTTTTTTCTCTTTTTCCCTTGCCTGGATGTTTTAGTGTTGCACAAAAGTGAATTTAGCTCAGCGAGTTTTAACATGCCGGTATCTTCAGACTTGTTTGTTGTTGCAATGAAGCACACACCAAAAAAAAAAGAAAAAAAGAAAAAAAAAGAGAGATAAATGTAATTGTTTCTGACATCGTGCATACCAACAGATTTTGTGGAAAATTTTGGAAAAAACCACGCGTGGTGTGCACAAACAACACGTTAACAACCCCGAGTTCCAAAAGAGCTGGAATGTTGTGTAAAATGTAAACAAAAGCAAATCTCATAGACCCATATTTAATTCACAGCGGAACGTAGTTAAAAACATTTAAAACGGAGTTTTTATGGCAGTTTTGGGACAGCAGCAATAAACGCCTGTAAAAAGTAAGAGGTACTAATAACAAACAGCTGGAGGAATATTTAGCAAATAATTGAGTTAATTGTCAGCGGGTCAGTGAGAGGGCCCGGGTGTAAAAAGTTGGTTTTACAGAGGCTGCGTCTCTCAGACGTAAATATGTCAGAGTAATGTTCCTCCATGGAAAACAGGGAACTTTGAACATCCCATCATCACAGTTCATMGTGTCATCAAAAGACTTTAGGGTGCTAAAAGTGAAGATTTGATGCTTGTGATCTTCAGCTGGCATTTTCTACAAACCATCGCCTCCGGGCACAGTTTGTGCCACCCACAAAGGCCAGTTAAAGCTCTATCATGCAAAGAATAAGAAAACAGAAACACAGCTGTCTTTTCTGGATCAAAGTGTAAAATTGTTTTATGGAAACGTTAAGCACCACGACCTCAGTACAAAAGAAGAGAGGGGCCATCCAGACTGTTTGTCAGCACTTTGCTCAAAGTCTGCTTCTCTGATGTTATAGAGATGCATTAATGCCATTACACATCTGGAAAGACCCCATCATTGCAGAATAGTACCATATTTATGCATACACGTGACATCCCATTTTTTGTAGCTTACAAAGCYTAAATATTAAATCTTAATACCTAATTTTAAACAGACTGTTGGATTTTTAATTTGCAGTTTACATYTTGGTGGGGGAACATTATTTTGGRGACACACACTTGTGTGCGTGTTAGATGGATAGCTTCGAGGAGCAGCTCATCTGGTCGTATTGAGCATGCTAATCGTGCAAATAATGTCCACGTCTTCTTTCCATTTCTGCAGTTAACAGGCAAAAACAAAAAAAAAAAAGATGAGAAAAAGGTTTTCCTCCTCTGCAACACTATTTCAGTTATATATGAAAAAAGTGTAGACATTTATTTTAATACACTAGCCAAAAAAAAAGTGAAAACTTCATGAATGATTTTAGGGTTTAAACCTTTAGCATTAAACACATAAATGTGGTATATATAAGTTTTAGACGCTCATGCTCTCATTGTAATTGCGCAAAGTTGGACACAAAAGTGGAGGATGAGAARCTCAGGGATACGAAGGTAAAAACAAAGACTTTTAATACCAAAAATTGCAAGTTGTGGCAGCAAAAAGGTACTTAAAGAAACTCAAAGGTGCTTGCGGGGGAAATAACTCTACAACATAAAACATGAGGAAGCAAACTGCTGTGGGGAAACTAACAAGCAGACAATGAGAAACACCTGTGGAGATGGGGGATCAGGTGAGCGTGGGCGGGGCCTGGAGTAGTGACTGACGGGAGAAACAAGACTGAAAACAAAAACAGAGTAACAGAACACATAACCAAAGAAAGGAATAATATAAAAACAACTCAAAGAATTAAAAAAAAAAACTAACTGAGCAAAACACAAATCCTGACACCCATTCAGATGATGAGGTAAGGTCTTGCATATTTCAGCAAGACAATGCTAAACTGCTACTGCATCATGGCTTCATAGTAAAAGAGTCCAGGTGCCAAACTGACCTCTCACCAGTTGAAAACCTTTCATGCATATTTTTTTCTGTTTTTGTCATGTTTTAACATTTTTAAAGTAAAAGTTGTAATATTTTTATTGCAGAATTTTCAGGGCTCCTCTGTCATATTTTTCCTCTAAAACAGGGGTGCACAAACATTTTCCCCGAGGGGGCCAAAATGAAAATCTATCCATGGCTGCGGGCCTAATGCAGTTATATAATACATGAAATACAAATACTTTTTAAAGTAAAGTCCTTTATTTTTAACGATTAAGCTGTGCAATGGCCCTCTTTTGTTTTAGTCTGTGCACTTGGAGAAAGTCTGTCATACTCTCAAGTAGCAAAGGCTCATGGGACATTTCATAAATTGATGAAATATGAGTTTTTGTGGCCTTATGAAGTGTGCAAATCTACATGCGGRGTTAAATCTGATCTAAATATTTCTTGTTGTCGTTTCGTGTTTAATCCTAATAAATAAAAGRTATGTCAGCACCATGACTGAAAACYACCTTCACWRCAGCCCTTTTATATAGTCATTTGACCAATGGAAACACTGTGTTTCTACTTATAGGATAACAGCTTACAACCTTGTAACTTTTTGCAAYTGTTGGTGGGCCAAATCAAATGGCTTGGCGGGCCAAACTTGGCCCGCGGGCCCCACTTTGGGCTCCTCTGCTCTAAAACCTGACGACAATCGTTCGGACTGGTGTTCATTGACACTCTTCTTTAAACGGTACCGCTTCCTGTGGTTGTGTGAAGTGGCACACCCGGCAGTAAAATGAGAGAAGCTGTGGAAAAATGTCGAGCCTTTTCTTTTCACTTCCTGTCAATGTGACACGCTGAGCGGTTATTCTCTGCACAGAGACAATCACTGCTCGGGTGTTTTTGTCGAAGCTTCATGGGGAAAAAGCTCTTGGGAGCGAAAACTTTCCAAACAAAAATCATAAACTAACGTCCCTYACTCCACGGGGTTCTGCTTTGTTTTCACGTATTGATTATGTGAATTAAAATAAATAAGCACAGAGAGTTTTTCTTTGCCCAGTTTAGTTTGCAGTGTTTTTGTCTGTTAGCRAAATATCTCACAAACCACTAGACAGAGTTTAATGAAACTCTGAATATGTAATCACYGGATGCACATCTGTAGCTGGTTAACTTTGGAAGTCAACCCAACCCAAGGTGGCCGCCACAGCTAACTGATTTCAGGAAACACAAATATGTTTCTAAYTCAGTTAGTTTCACAGATACTGAGCTAAGATTTGCTGTGGTAGTAGCTGAGCATTATCTCCATTTTATGCTCTGAACTCTTAACTGCTTGTGCAGGATCTGTTTTTTATTTTAAACTTTGACTTTAATTGTTGAAAACAACTTTGTCTGTTAGCAAAATGTCTTGCAAACCGCTTGATGGATTTTAATAAAACCTTCAGAAAGTAATCAGTGGATGTACGTCTACAACTGATTGACTTTAGGAGCCAGTCCAATTAAAGATGGCCGCCACAGCCTTCTGAATGTAGGAAACACAAAAAAGGTTACAAC